GTGAGTGTTAGGTGCTCTTCCTGTGTTGTCTGTCAGTGTGCACCTTGTCATTGGTTTATCATCAAGTCATGAGTTTTCAATCATTTGCGTGTCTATATTTTACCATATTAAGCAGAATTAGTTTACTGTGGGTACTGTCTGTCACCATCACGTGATGCTCTCAACAGTATAACCTAAAAATTTTTTTTTCAAATTATTGACAGCATTCTCAATGGTATACTTATCTGAACGATACTGTCCTCTGTGCTGATGAAGTAAAAATCTGGAATCATGTTTAATTAATTTCGACTTGATTATGTTACGCTGAGCTGAGGATTCATTAGACACGATGATTTAGGTGTTCTCTATCATCTGGATGTAGTAAAGAACATCTGTAAGTAATGATCGCATTAGAATCCTGATTCACCTGAGTGAAGTATCTGTGCTGAGCGAGTCTAGCTTCCAGCAGTTTACCTGTCTGGCCCAAATAAAATCTGTTATCATGGGAGTATAGGAAAACACTTGAAACAGATCACAGGTAAGTCACAAGAAGATTGGCATCATTTTCTGCGATTAAATGAAGTATTTATGGCTCTACTAGTGAAATTAATGGTATCTTCCCCCTTCTCTTCTCTTTCTCTTCTGCTTGCTACCTTGCTTCCGAATTGATAGTAGGAATCCTGTCTATAAGTCAAGAATATTGAAAGTTGCTGTACTTTCACATATTTAAGAATATTATGCAATAATCGACAGTCTGCTTCTGAATCCTCATGATTTCTGTATATTAAGGATCGTCTCTATTTTACATGAGCTGGCTACCAAGCTTCTCAGTGGATCAGCCACCATTTCAACCTAGGGGAGGATCGGGTTTAAAAATCATATGACGCTCAATAAATTTATCAAAATACTCTTTTTTTAAAGAAAATAACAAACAAGTAAGATACCAGTGACCCTTTAAAATGTAGACATAAACCTGGTTTACAGTGGAGATAACAGAAAGATGGCAATAATAGCACTAACATAAGTTTTTTTTGAGTTACGAATTGAACATAATGAATCTATGGAAAACCATGAGTTACACATCTCAGGCAACATGGCAGGAAAGATTATTTCTCCAGCATTTACAGAACTTGAACACGGATTATAGAAAAGCATTTCAGGTGTTTTATTATAGAGAGACGAATGATTAAAATTGGTCAACTTATATAGGAGCTGAAGTGGGGAGGTGCACATTAATTTTCTTTTAACAGACCGATCTCAAAATATGATAGGTAATAAAATTCTGTGCAAGTTAATAAAATTCATTACGAGATACCAAGGGCACAGTACTTATTAAACATTTATTTTTTATTTCTCATAGCAGAAATAAAGAAAAAAATTAAATCACAACTTAACCTTGAAATATATCGGTGACTTCACAAGAGTCACTACACAACTGCTGATATTCCAGCTGGTGTCTTCACCTTTCCCTGTGCAGTTGGTAAACATGAGTTTACTGGCCTTCGTAATGAACCTTGAAAAAAAAGCCTGTACCGAGCTGGAGGATACGAAGACGGTGATGAAGCTTCTAAATGGAGAAGAGCGAGAAGTATAGCATTGTTCAGAAGAAAGGGAGAACACCAGTCAGTGGGTACAACAGGAATGAGTGAAGGAGCAGATATGGAGCGTGAATTCCTCGGCTCTGCAGGGTGAATGCAAGAAGGTAGCAAGCAGAATCAGTGTAGTCGAAATACAGTTGTGAATGCTCGGAGTATTAACTGGTAAAAATGGTACGTGATACCGACAGGTTTTTGGAAAATGATACAAAAGGCATACAGCAGCTTTTGAGTTTAGTATATTAACTTTTGAGAGGCAAAACTTGCTTCTGTGTGAAGAGCAAACTTTGAGATAAACTACGTATACTACAGAACTCCGTTGAGAGCGAAGCGTACATAAATAATGGTTTGCTCTGCTCTTAGTCTTTCTGCAGTATTTTTACCTGCTGGGAGATCACAGGTTAGATAAATTGGCAGAACACTATATAAACGGCAGGTGTTGATAACTATCAAATAATCTCTCTGCTGGAGGGAGTTACGTTGGAAAACGTTGGAAGGAAAATTGCTTGCCAGCAATAAGTCTTATAAAGTGAGAAGGAGGGAGCCCAATCATAGGTGGCATTTTGCCAAGACCGCGAGTGGACACTAAATAGATGTCAAGGGCAGTTGGTAAATAATCGCTGGCTTGATGAATATTGCCACGACAGTTATTTCTTATTCATTGTGGTCCATAAGATTAATCAGTCACTTAATTTGCCTGACCTTAACAATGGGAAAATTAATGTAACCAATAACTGCGGATGGAATTCGAGGTTAACTTGAAGGACACAATTAGAGAAACGACTCTCAACACAGTTTAACAAGTTGGTCGTTCTTGCCTTTCGATTTTACTGACTTTTTTCCTTAAGATACATAAGCGGTGGACCATAATAAAGAGTACGAAGTTGTTCATGAAGTTCTACAAACACTGTCTCCTCTTTATCCAAGCCTCTTGCTTTAATTAACCTTTCCCATCCTCAAGGTTATCCAGCCAATCGTCTCCAATCACAATGTCTTCTGTCTGTTTTCCGGTCAAAACTAAGTTGGCTTGTGATTTAAGCGAAGCCAGAATTTAACTGGTAATGAGTCTGTGAATGAGTAAGCTGAGATAATCAAGAAGAGTGAGCTCAGTTCGCTATTTCTTTAAATATTATGATGTCAACTTTAGTGACCCTTACCAGCCAATAAGTGAGAGTTACTGATTCACAAATTATGCGCTCCAGTTCGAGGGCTGGAACATTTTCACAACATGACCGCTACGCTATGATTTACGTAGCCTAGATAAGTGGGGTTATGACACTTACCAGAATACACAGATACACGAGACCATGTTTTACCACTAGGTCACATGTCCTCTCTGTGTTCCCAGCATGACCTACATGTGACTAGTACCTCGCCTAGTGCCAGACTGTCTTTCATTAAATCTTCTTGTGTTTAGCATGCTACATTATGGACTACTAATTCTAAATATTACAGTACAAGTTTATTTATATATGTAATAAGTCACACGAAACTGAAAAAAATAGGAACACAAAAAGCGAATAAATATAATTTTCTTAAAATATTTTACCTGAAATAATACATTCATGTTAGATAAATTTAAAGTGTATACATTCCAGCGTTGGTTTGTAGTGGAATAGAATAAACTTCCAAGTACCTTCATTAAAGCTATCTTTGGTATCTTTAAAATTGGGTTAGACAATACATAGAGCATGGGATAGCCTTACGTTGTATAGTGCACTCTTGGGATCTACCGCTTCTTGGTGCTTCGTAGGTACTTGTTCAGCTGGTTCCACTTGCCACAGTGGTGAGAGAGTGTACTGTGTTGTACTGGTAAATCTGATCATTTACAGCAGTTGTAAAGTAGGCAGTCGTTTCTAGTTTTTCTTAGCCAAATGCTGTTATTGAAGTGATCGCAACTTTGACAGAGGGTTGATGTGATTATTGTGTAGCCTCTCATAGTCTTGACTCTGGGGGAAGTGAGTGTTTTAAACCTGTTTCATTCCAGATGCTCCGAAGCTTTAGCTTTCTTGTCGATTTAAATGCCCTGGAATTTGTAATAGGAAGTCCAGTCCTTGTCAATAGTTTGTATGTGAAGCTTTGTGATTGTGTTTCTTCATCGTCAACACGATTTTTTCGGCTGATAGATTTAATCCAGTTCCTGGAAAATAGTATAGATGAGTTCCAAGTCTTGTTGTGCTTGGTGTCAGCCTCTCCTAGACACAACTAGCACCAGGTGGTCACCATAACATAGTCTTGTACCATTTTGGAGGGGTAGTTAGACCACTTCTATTAAGACACTGCAATGGTTGAAGACTCCTGTGTTATGTGTCAAATGTTAATGATGGGAAGATACACAAATTTTTGTTGATACCGATATCCAGTTTTCGGCCGATACCAATATCGAACAGCAGCAGCAGCAGCAGCAATAGCAGCAACAGCAGCAGCAGCAGCAGCAGCAGCAGCAGCAGCAACAGCAGCAGAAGTAGCAGCAGCAGCAGTAGCAGCAGCAGTAGCAGTATCAGCAGCAGCAGCAGTAGCAGCAGCAGCAGCAGCAGCAGCAGCAGCAGCAGCAGCAGCAGCAGCAGCAGCAGCAGCAGCAGCAGCTGATGCTGCTGCTCTTCCTTACACAGAATCATCGTTGCTTGCCTTCCCACACCCCAAGGCGCTGTATGACCCTCTAAGGGTTTAGCGCGCCTCCCCATGAACACGGCGTGTTTACCTGCCGAATGACAGAACAGCTGATCGATGTCACATAACTGCAAACTCTTTCTGCCACTCCCTTAAAAACGCCGAGGTACCTTTTGACTTTGAAGTGAACGAGGACTGTGCCCAGAATCAGAAGCCAAGACCTGATGCGTCATTCTCTCTGACGTCAAAAAGTAGATTGATGTTGGTCCCAGAGGAATCATCAACACCACCTAGCAACAAAAACTAGTCCAATTTCTTCTGGCATTGCTCGATAATACCAGGTTTACTGTAGCGCTGAGTGAAGCTCTATATTGGTACACTAGTGTAATGGTAGTGTAACGTACCAGTGTAGTAACTTTGCAGCTACGGAACCTTTTTTTTTGTTAAAAGGTTAATGGTGGAACCCTAAACAAGAGATATCATGAATTATGAAAGAAAACAAAGTGTCTTCTACCTGTTTTTGCTTAGTAATAATGACGCAGTACGAAGCCATGGTGGAATTAGTTCACGAAGGTTACTTGACTGTTTTTTTCCCTTCCTCTACCTTTGTTATTTTATATTACTCATAACTCGAAGTATTTTTCGTATTAATTTTGAGCTGTGCGGGTGTGCCAAGTTGCCAATTTGTTTGCCACTTCTGTCACAATGTGTTTTCGGAAAAGAAAAAAAGTTTTCTTACAGGCTTTTAGAGAATTTTAAACAGAATGTAAATGTGAAAAGTAATCTTGGAAAAAATAAAAATCTGCTGATTTGTGG